TCAGCAGCACCAATGGTACCTACTCTTTTGAGAGGTTGTTGCCTTTTACCGCTGTGATGTAATGAATGATATGTTCTTCAGGGTCCGTTGTGCCATCGTATATTTTCAGCTATGGTGGCATTTTAAAAGTTTTGGGTATGGTATGTGGGGTTGCCTCCTCGCTGTATGGATGTTCCACGAACCAGCCGACGTCCTGTTTTGGCAAGAGTTTCGGGGCACCTGGTATCTTATCAACTCTTTCTTGGTGCTCCCTCATTTGGTCGTGGAGCGCTTTATTCTCATTCTCCATTTTTCCATTTTCTTTAGAACAGCTATGAGGACATCATTTCCTACATCAACAACGGTGTGATGGTTACCTGTTGGGGGAGGGGCTTGTTGCTTGTTGATGGTTATTGGGGTGTCAACTCGTGCGGTGTTCCTATTCGCTCCTTGAGCGGGTTTATCGAGTATACTGCTTAGGGTACTTGTCAGCCACGCCTCCAATAACTTTTTCACTGCCCGCGACGCTTCTTTCGTTGTGGACATGGAAGCTCCCTTCTCATGTGAAGCGGTTACACTCCCATGAGGAGGGGGTGAATCTCTTTGCATGGTGAGGCCTCGGCGTCACATTCTCCTCGTCTTCCCTCTCCATCTCGTTGATGATGCCTAGGAGATTGGCAGTGACACACATCATTGCTTTCAGCCTTTCCTCTCTTTTTCCTGCCATTGTTAGCTTGTACAAGCAAGAAAAAAAAAAGCTTTTTTTTTTTAGATCTAGAAGAAACTAAACTTTTTAACTAGGAACTCCCCATATACGACGCTAAATTGTTTAACCAGAAAGTTTTAAACCCTTTTAGTTAAACCAATTTAATAAATAGATATGGGGTAAATCCAAGTTAAAAGTAATAAATTCTAGATCCGAAATCAATCAACTTAGACAGTATAGGTCTGCGTCCAAGTTAACAAATGCTGAGTTGATGCTCAATGACTAGTGATTAATACGAGGACGAAAACATACAATAAAGGTGATAAATGGCATTAAATATTGTAAGAAGGAATTTGTCACCCAAATGTTGGATGAGATGGAAGATTCCTTCTTCTGACTACAACGTGTGACGGCATACCAATGAAGTGAACTATGTGTTCTTGGATCATGTGAACTAAAGAGGAATATTCTATGATGAAACCAAACAAGAGAGACAAAACCAGCTTTTTCTATATTCCTAATAGTCAACTCTTTAGAAGATGTTTCCTCTCCCTTTCTATTTATAAGGGATATCCCTAGAAAACGCTAAAAAGTACAATATGGGGGAAAATTCAGCAGAATATTCTTATTCATAATCCTAGGAACATTCTAACAGTTGCAACCGTTTACCCGCTGCTCGACCTCGACACTGGTCTCTCCCTTTGAACGACTTCTCGTTACTGGACCGCGCTTGGTTTGGACCTCGGCCTCAGCTTGTTCGTCTGCATTTGATAGACTAGACATAATTTTGACCCATACACCTCTGACACCAACTCATTGAAAATACTCCTAATTATGTCTTTGCACGGAAGAGTTAAGTGAAACTTGAACATTACATCTTTAAAACATGAAGTTATTAAAAAATTTCTATCATGCCCGTGAGTCATTAACTTTGACCTACATTGAGCTGCAGAAAAGGAATTGGATGACACAGTATACCTTCGTGTCAGTGGAATTAAGGATTGTGGCGGAGTGACAAATACTTCTTTATTCTTAATCAACGGGTTTGGATTTGAGTCTAGAATATAAACTTGTCTTTGTTAGAAAATATTTTTCCCTTTTATTAAGACTTTCTAATGTGAATCTAGATTTTATGGACCCCAATACAGTTATCTAATATCAAATGAAAAAAAATGAAGTCGAATTAGTAGGTGTTTGGACATGAATTCCAATTTTATTTTATTTTTAAATTTGGAATTTCACTAAAATTTGAATTGGAGATGTGTGTTTCGTTATAATTTTTGCAACATATTTGGATGTCTTTTTTTCAAAATTATGAAACATGATTTATACCCCACAACTTGTAAAAAATATCAACACCACCCCGATTTGATTATCCTACTTGAAATAAACACCCCTTGCCGGATTGGGATTGCAAAGGCAGCCGCACACTTTGGTGGGAAGAAGACCTGTGCTTTTGTGTTTCTGCGGGTGGTTGTAGGTTACTAACTGATGAGGTCATTTTATAAATTTTGAAAGTATGGGGTAAATTTGTAAAATCAAAAACTAGCAAATTTCCCATTTTTAAGTGAAATTGAAAAAAATGGTAAGAGTTTGATAACCAAATATTGTTTTCAAATTATTTTTTTTTTTAAAAAGAAAAATTTTGTATGTTCAAACGGGCTCTTAGTGGCCGAAGGAGTAAGTAATACCTGATGGGCAAGTGCCGAGCACACTATGGTTCAACTGATCCACCACAAAATGGTGCAGATTCGGTCAATATCCTGACCTTGTTCTCGTATAAGGTGTAAAAAGAAATGTTTCTTTAATCGTAATATTTTTCACAAATTACAGTTTTCTATTTCTGGAGTTAATCTCATTATATGTTCAGAATCCATTTGGGTTACACGTTACTTGATATTAGCTTCTTCTTTTCTTGGTTTTGAATTCGGTATCTAGTATTCATATTGACATTTTTAATTAATTTAGATTTGCATTGCGTTAAAAATATTAAAAAGGAAACGTCTATTAATAAGATATTTTTATTTTCAAAGCTTGAACTCGAATTTTCTGATTAAAGATGGAGGGAAGACCACAAACTTTAGGGGTCGATATTAGCAGCTTTTCACTCGCAAGATAGTCATTATAATCCCTTATATTTAGTTCGACTAAGTTGTCACGATTTAAGTCATTTGTGATTTAACAAATAAAACAGAAAAAAATAAGTATAAGACAAATAAGTCGATTACAGACTAAACAATATATTCATATACTCCCTCCGGTCCAAAATAAGTGATTTTTTGGACGTTTTCACACAGATTAAAGAATCCATCTTTTAGCATTAATTAGCAATGAAATTGACCATATTAACCTTTACTATCTCACATAAACACTCCTAACACATATTCCAACACTATTACTCCAAGGACAATGTAGGAAAAAAATAATTAATTCATTCTTGAAATCTGAAAAAATCACTTATTTTGGACCACAAGAAAATACCAAAAAATCACTTATTTTGGACCGCAGGGAGTAGCGTTTAAAACACAAACTATTTAGATAGTACTTCGAAATAACTAAAATATTCAATCCTAAATAAGTAAAGAAATTAATAATTCAAAAAAGTGAAAGTATATTACGTTAAATTGTTGGGTATTAAAGAAAGACTATCAACTACTCCCTCCGGTCCAAAATAAGTGATTTTTTGAATGTTTTCACACAGATTAAGAAATTCACCTTTTAGCATTAATTAGCAATGAAATTGACCATATTAACCTTTACTATCTCACATAAACCGTCTTAACACATATTCCAACACTATTTACTCCAAGGACAATGTAGAAAAAAAATAATTAATTCATTCTTGAAGTCTGGAAAAATCACTTATTTTGGACCACAAGAAAAAGGCCAAAAAATCACTTATTTTGAACCGGAGGGAGTACTGTTTGATAATTAACTAATCATCCTTAACAATCTTTGCAAGTCAAAATTCAGAAGTCGAAAGTACGAGTACATTTAAAAACATGAAGTAGAAATTAATAAATCATTAAAAACGTCATAAGAAGTTGGAAGTAAGTACATTTAATTTTGTGAAAAACATTATTTAAAAAAAAAGAAAAAAGACAGCAACTTTACCCCACTAATGCATCCCCTATTTAATGAAACGGTAACATTTCCCGCTAATACTGGACTGTTCTTATTCGGTAAATACTTATTCACTCCGAATGTTTACACCAAACTATATTAATTCATTATGATTAATTAATTTAATTAGATGAGAATGCATATAATTTACCATGGTTAAATGATTGAAGTCCATATGCAAGACACATGTCATATATCTATTGATTTGGTGTAAACACCCGGTGCGAGTAAGTTTTTACCCGTTCTTATTCTGCACTATTCCCAAATGCATGACATTACTCCAAAAAAACGATAAGGAAGAAAAAAACTGAAATAATTACCAACTGTTGAAAGAAGGTCGTGAAAGGAGAGGATAATATCGTCATTTCAAATTAGTGACAGTGACAGAGCATAAGGATTAAGGTAATCTCGTATAGTTAATGACTAGCTAAGAATCTGACAAATGGTAAAGTCCCTCATTATCTTCAAATAATTGCAAGATTAGCTCTTACCTGTACCACCAGGTATGAAAAAAGGAAATGAATGGACTATATTACCCTTTTGAGGTTTGACCAAAGTTTGACTCCTCTATTCTCTCACTGAGTCACTGACTCTCTTCTGTCTCTTCTCCCAAAACAACCAAAAAATCTCTGCTAAATTTTGGCAGAGAGAAAGAAAAAAAGAAGCTCATTTAGATTCTCATCTGGCATACTTGTGACGGACCTCAGGCACAATTTAAATGCAAAGTACACCTTCTTTTACCAAGTTTAAATATGTTGACATCATAAAAAAAATATTTACACAATTAAATTATTAAAAAATATTTACAAATTAAGTAATACTCCTCCGTTCCAATTTATTTAAACCCGTTTAACTGGGTACGGAGTTTAAAAAAAAATGAAAACTTTTAAAATTTGTGGTTCTAAACAAGTCAAAAAAAAAGTCTAGAGTATTTGTGTGGTTATAAAAAATTTTCACTAAAGGTAAAATTAGAAATTTAGGCTAAATTATTTTCAAATTTAGAAAGGGGTCATTCTTTTTTGAACGAAATAAAAAGGAGATATTGATTGATAATCTAGATTAAATAGTAATAATAATTAATCTTCTATTAGTATAAGAGATTAGATTATTTTGATAGTACAAAACTTTTTTATACTGTCCTTTTATATTTTTTTTACCAAACACAAGATCACTCTTCCCTTACCTCGAGCCCCTACTATCTCTTCTTAACACCTTTTGATTCTCTTATTTCTCTCTCCCTCAGAACTACTAGTACTATCTACTCCAGCATTTTTACTCTAGAAAAAGAGGAATTAAAAAAAGAAAAGAAAAACATCCTCTTTTCACTGACAAAAGTTCTTTCATTCTCTCTCTTTCTTGTTTTGAGTTTTGGGTGAAAAAACTTTGCTCTATTTGCAAAGGAAAAATGGCTATGGTTCAGGCTAAGGCCAAGTGGGTACTTCTTCTCTTACTTTTCCCAATACTTGCTTTTAACCCTGAAAACCTCTTTTTATGTTTCAATGGGTTGTTCTAAACCATCCTTAAAAGGGACATTTTTCAACTACCTGTTTCTCTACAGTAAAATCTCTGTTCCAACACCAATAAAAAATAAACATACTTTCCCAAAACCCCATTTTCCTTTTTTCAGCCCACATTCCTCCAAGAAACAACCTTTTTTCCTTCTTTTTTCTCAAGAATCTCCTAATTCTTGGTATCTTTTTTAACAAAGGTGTAAACTTTCAGCAAGTGTGAGGAGTTTTGGGGGGGGGGAAATGGGGTGTGTTGCATCCAAGTTAGAACAAGAAGAAGAGGTAGTTTCCATTTGCAAAGAGAGAAAACAGCAGCTGAAATTAGCTGTTGAGAGAAGGTATACTTTAGCTGATGCACATTACAAATACTGTCAAGCATTGTATGGAGTTTCAGCAGCACTTAAGCTCTTTGTTGCTCGCCATTCTACTCCAACTTCACCATATCTAATCACATTTCCACCACCTTGTCCCTCTTCTCCTCCTAAAGAAAAAGTGGTTTCAAACCCTCTGTTTCTTCAGCAAACACCTTCTGAACCAACTCAAGAATCCATTTGTTGTGGGGCAACATGCAAATCTACTACAACCCCATCAGATTCTTCTGAGGAAGAAGAGAGAGTAGAGAAAGTTGAGACACAACAGCAGCATCAGCAACAGCAACAGCAGCCAGGTTATGGCTATTTTTACATGGAAATGCCCCAAATGGTACATTCACCACCAACAGATTTTGGTTGGGATTTTTTCAACCCTTTTAATAGTGTAAGACCAGAGATAATTAGTGGGTATCATAGGATTTCTGAAGAGGATATAAGGGCAGTAAGGGAACAAGAAGGAATTCCAGATTTAGAAGAAGAGGAAGATGAGGCAGAGGAGGAAGAAGAAGGGAATGGAAAGAAGGAAGTGAATAAGGTAGTAGCTGCTGCAGAAAAGGAAAAGATGGAGCAGAGGGAAAATGGGAGTGAAGTTGTACAGTCAGTGCATAATGCTAATGTAAACCAAGAGGAACAAAATGAAGGTTTGACAGTTGTGGATAATCCATTACATGGGAGGGAATTACTTGAAGCATTGACTGACATTGAAGACCATTTTGTTAAGGCATATGATTCTGGAAAGGAAGTATCAAGAATGCTGGAGGCAAATTGGGTACATTCACAGCCTAATTTGGGGGAACCTAAAGGTAGTTCTTTTTACATACTAGTATGAAATAAGTTGCTTTAATTTTTGAGTGAGTGAATTGCATTGTGAACTTCCTGAGTATAGACTTGCTTTTCTCTTGAAATCTCTTGTTTTGCTGTGAGTTTATGTTCCTCTTTAGTTGTTTTGGCTGTATTACTATGTCCTGTTAAGGATATGTTGCAGTTGGGCTTACCTGATAATCTTTGCTTTGGCTTTATCTTCCTCTTTAGTTCACTACTATTTCCTGTTAAGAAGGATATATTGAGTAAGGCAACGAGGCTTAGATCATAATCCTTTTTATGGAAAAAGGAAAACAAACATCTATATAATCTTAGTTCCTGTCATGATTATGTTCCTCGCAAGGAAGTCATATCGAAGTTTCCGAAGATTATCCATCCCATGGTCCCATTTCCCAAATCAAGTATCTAACTTTAGAAATTAGTTCCTCATTTTACTTCACATTATTATATATTATAAGTAATCATTTTAACCTTTCTGGAGTATAAATAATGCTCGTTATCTGTGATTTCAAATATTCTATGAATAATAATATATGGGCCATCTTGATTAAAAACTAGCTGGTGAATAAGGATGAGAGATAGTTCTATTGGTGAGAGTTCAATTACCAAACTAATCAATTATACCAAGTTCTGATTTCTAAAGTAAGCTTGAGATTTTCAGGTACTATATTCAATTTCAAGGGCCTCAATTTTATTATTTTCTGAATTTGTTCAATTATCTCATGTATGCAGAAAATTCAACAAAAATCATCCCAGCTATTACTTGGAAGTCACCTTCATCTCGGTCGTCATCATGCAAGAGTCTTGTAGCTTCTAGTTCCAAAAGCTCTTCAACATGGACAGAATTCAAGAATGATTTATTTGATGATTATGGTGGAATGGGCTCTGGGAGCCATTCGTTGACGCTAGGAAGGTTATATGCTTGGGAGAAGAAGCTATATGAGGAGGTTAAGGTACATACATATTGGCCAAACTTACTCTCTTTTTGAATCCTTAAAGTTTCATGTGTTCACTAGGAGAAGATACGTCGCGTGCATTAGTTAAGCCTGAAAACAAGTAATACTGGTATATCCTACCAATATGTTTTAAGTACTTCTGGTATTAGATTGATATGATCCTATACTTTGGAAACTTAAGCTTGGTGCAAGTTCTCATGCAAGAAAATTTCTCCATATCAGTCTCGTGTGAGTTGTGACCCCCTCTTTTGTACAATAGTGACAATCACAGTGTTTGGCCCTGGATTTGGGAAGTCACTGGTGCCAAGATGGGTACTTTAATAGTACAGAAGTAGTTCTACTTTGAATGTTATTGAAGAATATTAAGTAGCGGTAGGACGAATGCCTTGACTTTCTAAGTGCCCCACCTTTATTACTGCTAGAAATGCCAAATCCACAAAATTTAAGTTGTCAAGTCCTGTCATTTTTTCTCTCTTTTCATCTGGCACAGTTCCTTACATCTAGACTTACCCTCAGGCTGGAGATAGCACTTGGAAACTATATGAGAAGAAGTGCGATCAACTAAGAAATCATGATGCAAGAGGAGATGAAGGACGGACAACGGACAAAACCAGAGCAGCAGTAAAAGAACTCTACAGCAGGATCCTAGTTGCAATCCGAAGTGCTGAGACCATATCAACAAGAATTGAGAAATTACGAGATGAAGAACTGCAGCCTCAAATCATTGAACTGCTTCAAGGGTAAGTAGGATTTACCTGGCTAGTAAAATATCACTTAATGGAAGATCTGCATTTACCCACTTATTGACACTTTCTTTCTATTTGGTATAGTATGATGAGAACCTGGAAGATCATGCTGGAATGCCATGAGATCCAGAACAAGATTATATTCGACGTGAAAAGTTTCACCTGTCCTACATATGGGAAGTTCTGCAATGACTCTCACCGGCTTGCCACACTCCAGCTTGATGTTGAGCTTCAAAATTGGCGCACACGCTTCCAAGACTACATTGCTGCCCAGAAGGCTTACGTGGAGGCACTCCATGGATGGCTGTCCAAGTTTACAATCCCTGAAGTTGAATTCTACTCCAAAAGGAGGAGTTCAACTCCACAGTGTCGAGCTAATGGTCCTCCACTTCTCATGATTTGTCATGATTGGTTGTCTGCCATGAACAAGTTGCCAGATAGAGCAGTTTCTGTTGCACTAAAAGGCTGCGGAAAGGATGTAAGAGCTTTGTGGGTTCAGCAGGGAGAGGAACAGCAACAAAAGCGAAAAGTTGACAGCATGTCCAAAGAATTAGATAGGAAAACATTGGCATTCCAAAAGGTAGAGAACAAGCTTTATGAGTTCAAGCTCACAGACAGAAGCTCGGAGCTCGAAGTTGATCATAGAGCTGAGTATTTGAAGGAGAGGAAAGACTTGCTGGACAGCTTCAGGAAAAGGGTGGATCTAGAGAAGGAAGAACACCAAAAATGCATGCAAGAAACTCAGAGGATCACTCTTAACGGCTTTCAGACTGGGTTTTGCAGAGTTTTTGAGTCTATAACAGAATTTTCCAGGGCAGCTCTAAATATGTATAATGAACTACTAAGCAGCGGTGAGAAAGCTGAGAAAGTCGGTAACCCACCATCCATAGAGAGCTCCCAAGCCGGTGAAGATGTCAAAAGATGACTTGGGCTGGTTGTAATTTCCTTATTTATATGCATAGGTTGAACTGTTAGTTTGTATATTATTGTGGCATCAAAGCAGCTCGCTGAGATGTAGCAACTTGTATTCATGGTTGAGTTTCTTGATGGTCAAAGGCAACAATTTGTTGGACAGTTTTTAATATCCCTTTTCTTACATCTTAAGTGGACACAGTCCCAATAAAGTCAAAGCTCCAAAAAAAAGTGGCCACGGACTTGAGATACAAGAGTGTTCTCTTGGTTGTTCAGTCAAAGCTGCACTTCTCATCAAACACATTAACTGTGGTTTTTGGCTCAAAGGTAACAATTGCCAGAGGCATGCAATGAAGTAAGTTCAACAGCAAGAGAAAGAAATGGTATTACTCTGCATTATAAACAAATGATCAGCCCAAGCAACCAGTTCGTAGAACCTAGTCAGAGGTTCAAATACTGCATTAATATATGTATGAAACGAGTGCCGAAAAGAAAACCATTTCATGAACTTCAAACTACTATATAGTCATTAAGACTACTATGAATGACATCAAAAGTAAGTCTTTCGTGAATTGGCCCCTGCGTTATACCTAACCTTTTAAACAGTGTCAAATCTTAACAAAACAAATGAAAGCATACTCTAAATGGCGTACTTTGCAAAGGAGCTAACACAGCACTTCACTGCAGGAGTCCCTGCCCAGAGGTGGAGAGATTTTGAGCTTGTGGGTTTGGGATCCTAATCCTTTTAAGTTACTGGATTCTAAATTAATATTTTTTACATATTTAATGAACTTTTAAGATAAATACATGATTTGGACCAAAACTACTGGGTTAGCCCGAACCCGCACGCGACATTGTGGCTCCGCCTCTGTGACCGCCTATTATCATCTATGAATCCTTCTGTAAGAAAATAATCAGAATTTGTCCAACCCCAATTAACACATAGAAAGACACAAACTTTAATCAGATCAGGCAGGGGGGTTTACAATATCGTTGATAAAAGAAGCGAGCTGAGAATCTATACTAGCTTTTATAAAACAAATAATAGAACTTCCAGAGTTTTAAGAACATTCTTTTTGTACATTTGATAAATTACTGGTCCTAGATAAGAGCCTGAGTAGGCAACAAATAGCCATAGACCTTGCAGTAGCAGTTTCATACAAGCCTTTCTGTTACCTCATCTCAGATACAACGAGACCATAAATTGCGAGAAAAGTATAAATTCACTCACAACCGTAGCAGGAGTGTGTATACCCAGAAATGGGACAATGTCTACTTGCAACCAATTTTCTACTGCTGAACCTACCACTGCACCAGCAACCAGCCCACCAATTGTTATCACGCTTGCTTTCCCTGGTGACAAGTAAAGTTCTGTGTCACTTTTCTTTTCTTTTTTCCAGAAAAAGTTCCGTGTCACTTTTCCCAGAAAGCCAATATCTAGTTCTACTAAAAAAACTGGCAGAATACAGTTTAGATGAAATAAAGTACTTATCAGAGGCATAATTTAGTACAATTCCATTGGTTATTATTTGCAAAGTCCCAATTCGCATTATCCAGAAGCCAGTATAGCCACACGTATCAACTCCTTCAAAGTTTCATTGGCTCTTATGTGGCTACTATGTCATTGTCAAATATCAGGTAGTTTTTTTTCATTATAGGAAATATTGAAGGAGGTCTTCACCAAAGAGTTAACAGCTTTAATTCAAATCAACGGTGAGAGTTTAGAATGTAAATGAACAAACTTAACACATATTAGGGGGCTGTGTGAGGGTTGAAAATAGTAATTGCATCAGAAAGCTCCTCCTTCCTTTATAATCCTCGTACGTCATGTACCTCTTTACTAACACTTCCATATATTTCATTCTTTTCTTTTTTTCTTCAGCCCCTAACTAGCTTCAACTAACAGCTTGGCCATTACTCTAGCATGACTGAAATTCACATGCTGATGGTTCGATTTGGACTCTCAAATTTATTAAATTTAATCTATGAGTGAAACAAAGAAAAGCAAACTATCTTCCTTACCCAACTTGACATTTTTCTTGGTCATGAAGTACAAGGTGGCCCCAAAGCTCGTGGCTAAGATTAGTCCAGGAACATCAGCTCCATACGATACTCCTAAAGGTGTTGAGGCTCCATTAACATATGTTAAGACCATTAAAGCTCCATATACCCCTGCTTGGACACCTAGTTCTCGAGCAGCTGGTGCTTCAACTGAAACCGGGGCGTTCTTGACAGTCGTCTGCAGCCACTTTGGCATTGATCCAATCCCGGAAGCATTAGCAGATTTAACATCAGCAAAGCGTACACTACTATCCACAACTTTTCCAGCTCTCCTCTGTGATAAGCTCTGCATGAGAAGCATATCATATGCAGCCTCAACCTGAAAGTTGTTGAAAGGTGCCGCTTTATACAGTCAGTAAAACATACACATGGAGGAGGAGAAAGGCACATGTAATTTGCACTCAAAGATCTGTTCTTTCCCTCCTAGAAGTTTTGACTTGATGCTAATTACTTCAAATAACTCCCCTATGTAATCCTCTAAACATTTAACCTGCTAGAACGTGCAGAATAGATGTCAAGTTCTACATTATAGCCCATCAGAACTAATTAGAAATTGAAGTATAGTTGATTGATTGATTAATGACCACTTGACATAAGATAACAGCTGATGGCAATTGCTGCTGAGACAAAAATGCTTTTTTAATATGCATTCGGCCAAAGAGAGTTTACATAGCTGTGGAGTTTCAAATGCAAAAAAAAAAAAAAAAAAAAAAAATGTAGAACTTTATGGGTCTGGATTCTAGGACAGCTGAATTTAACTAGTGTACATATTTAATGGATTTTCTGACACATATATAGGGTTTGGACAAACAGAGTGCTGCCGAACCCATATCTTAAAGCCTACTTCCATCCCTGACAAAAACATAGTCGATCAGCAGGGAAACTACTAATTATCAGAAAAATTACTTAAAATCCATTAAAAACAACAATTCTACAGTAAAATTGAAGAAAATATTAGCAGAGTAAACTCTCATAACCTGCGCAATTGTATCCGCATCATCTTTACAAGAAGAGATAATTGATTTTTTAGCACGAAGAATATCATCGAAGCTCGCACCCTCAGATACACCTAGAAGCTTCAACGCATTCTCTACCGACATCTCGAAAGGAGCTGAATCGTCAGCTCTAGAACCTGCTTGAACGGCGGTGTCCAATTTCCGGCGGTGAGAAGCAAACGCCAACCTCCTCCGCCGGGAAGAATCGGAGTTCGGAATTTTCGGCAAATGAGCGGAGGTTGGACGGGGGCGGATTGGTGTAGGCCGGACTGAACCGGCCGGGTCACTGCCGATGATGGTGCGGTTGGGCCGGACCGTGAGAGATGTGGCCATTATTTTATTTTTGGCACAGTGAATATCTGAACGTGTGACTAACCGTGCGTTGAAATAAGAAAACCAACGGTTGAAGCAACGGAAGTGTTGTCACAGTGTGTGTGTGTGTGGCGTTTCTAGTTAGGCAACTAGTGATGTGTATACAAAAAATTGACAGCGCTCCGCTTTGTGTGAATTGCTCTTTCTGGTCCACTAAGTTATGATCTTTCCAACTTATATCCATCTAGTTTGAACGATCTCCATTCTAGTACTTGTACCTTTTGGCGTCAATTTTTTTTTAGTACAACTAATTTTTGGGTACACGCGTTAATTTTTTTTTGTACAACTAGTTTTTGGGTACAACTATTTATTTTCTTAAATAAAATCTTTTAAGAAAATTACATAAATATTCTATTAAAATACTGTTGCTTGTTTGTTTTCTATGAAAAAAGTTTGTACCAATTTTTCCATTATGTTGTATTTATAATTTACCTTCACAAAATACATGTATATATGGTTTTCTATCCATCATAACCTAGATTTCTTTTTACCTTTTTTCCCACGTATAAATGGCAAGTGTTTCATATCACTTAGATATTTGCATTAGTTTGTACACAAAAAGTAATATTGCTAAAAATATTTTGTTCTAAAATACTCTGAAAGAAATAGTAGAAAATTACAGTTGGAACCGTCAACCGTTAGCATTTCATACAAAATTATGAAAGAACAAAAATGTACTTCATAAAAAGAAAGTTATTTTTTATATTAGATTGAAGTTCCGAAAATATATGTACATTTCAAATGAGTATCACATAAGCATTTCAAGTATTAGTAAAATAAATATTATTATTGAAACTCGGATATCATTAAATCAAGTATATATATATATATATATATATATATATATATATATATATATATATATATATATATATATATAATCGCGTCCTTGCACGGCTCGTTCTTCGAGCCCTACTTCTCCCTTCCCCCTCTCCCCGTTCCTACCGTCCAAAACAGGCCTATGGAGTATAGCCAAGTGGTAAGGCATCGGTTTTTGGTACCGGCATGCAAAGGTTCGAATCCTTTTACTCCAGATTATGAATACCCGATCGGATCTGTCAAGAACGAGCTAACGACTACAAGGGAAGCAGCTGACTGCAGTCCCCGGTTTTCTATAGAACAAACGGGCGATATGCAGCATCAATCAAGGTAAAAAGGTAGTCACGGCCTGTGCTATAATGCACAAAAGCCCTCCACACCCACCAAAAAGTAAAGAACCCGTGGTGCCTGCTTGTGACACATAGGGCTTGCTTTTCGGTGATTACTATGAAATAAATGGCGGACTCAATTCATCAGGAACTGGAAGGACGACATCTCTCTCAGAAAAAAGGGAAATAAAAGACGAGAGAATCCTGCCTTTATTTTGACTACCCTAGGCTAGAGGACTTGACGGACCACCTCAGAGGTCGGAAGAGATTCTTGGAGACCACGTCAACCCTTGCTAAAAGGGGTATGGGGGACAAGCAGGGCATATAGCCCATAAAGAGGCGCTGGTACAACCACTCTATTGTCGACTTCTAATAAACGTGATTGACCCAATTCTGGTCCGCCATATATATATATAATATATATATATATATATATATATATATATATATATATATATATATATTATGTATCGTGTTGTATATGCATATAATAAACAATGAAAGAGATTTAGAGGATGTTTGACTAATAGCCCGTTTGGCCAAGCTGCAAAAATCTGCTTATTTTGAGAAGTGCTTTTTTCAAAAGTGCTTTTGTCAAAAGTACTTTTGGTGAGAAGCAGTTTGTGTTTGGCTAATTAGTTTGAAAAGCACTTCTGAGCAACAATTAGTGTTTGGCTAAGCTTTAAAAAACTGCTTCTAAATGTATTTCTCAAAAGTGCTTCTCAAAAAAGTGCTTTTGGAGAGAAGCTACTTTTTTCTGCTTCTCCAAAACTGCTTCTGCTTCTCCTCAAAAACACTTTTTTTCCTTCCAGAAGTTTGGCCAAACACCTCAATTTTTGGCTTAAAGTGCTTTTGGCAAAAAAAAAAAAAAAAGCAAGTTTGGCCAAACAGGCTATAAGCTTATAAGCTGGTCAAACTGGCTTATATGCACCTTTTGGCTTATCTACGCGTTTGGTAAACACTCAAAGTGCTTATAAGTCAAGTGCTTATTGTTGGTATTACTGTGTTCAAAATCAGAAAATCAGAGAAGCAGAGAATCATTAGTTTAATAAACAAAACAGGAAAAATAATTTCGAACCCACAAGTTGCTTGTGTGTCCTTAAGAAATTTAATCCCCTCACTGTTGCCCAAGGTTTTGGATTAATTCCTCCCAAGATAGAACGGAATAACTATTCTGCAATACTGGCAATCAAAATTACAGAATTTCAGCGAACTTAACAGACGGAGCAAATCACACTTGACACTTATATTTATTTGAAAATAATGCAACAAATAGAAAAGATTGGAGAAATTTTCAGATTTTTTCATATCTTAAAAATGAGGCCAAGCCTCTAAATTTATAGACAAAGGAAGGGTGAGATGGAGAGGTGCAATCCAAGAGGTGCCTTTTCCATTTCCCATTCACACCCTTTAAAGAAAAACGCAACACTTATAAGCTAAAATCAGTCATAAGTCATAAGCTAGTCACCCCCAACTTATGGCTTTTCAGCTTATAAGCACTTTTAGTTTGACCAACACTTTTACTAGTTTATCCTTAATAGTGTTTTCTAATTCACAAAATACTTTTCTCAAAATAAACGTTTTGACTTTCTCTCCATTCCATATTCGTTGTTAGTTCTTTTCTTTACAAAGAAATTTATAATTTATAATTTTCTGAAAAAATTCTAGGGTATTTTAGTCATTTTTAACAAAAGAATAGCTTTTCAGCACCTTTTTTAATCAAATACATCAACTGCTTATTATCAATTTCAGCACTTTTATTCAAACACGTAAATGCTTATTTTCAAAATCAGTTTCAGCACTTAAAAAAGCTTTTCAGCACTTCAAGCTTATCAGCTATTTACAATCAGCTAATCCAAACGGGCTCTTAATAGCATAAACAATGAAACAAACAAAATTATTGGAGGTACATATATACCTTATAAGAATTTACAAAATATTTGTCAAAATACCTTGCTTCTTCATTTGTTGGCTATGCTCAAATTCTCAGAAACCAAAACTGTCTTGTTCTTCCCATCTGAATTTACCGTCAGAGTTATTTAAAAGGGTAATATATGTGAAATATAATATCCCTTCCAGTTCATTAATTTTTTTTATTGTAGAAGGAACACGATAGGTTGGAAGAATATATTGTGAATAATACTGTGGTGAGCAAAAGAATGTGGAAGAGTATTTTTTTGCATTAGAATCTAGAATTTTATTATTAGTTGACTTCCTTTTTATTTACGTCTAAATTTTAGGAATATATACATTTCTTTCCTTTTCTTTATTATTTACCTAGGATCCTAAGAATTTTTCTTATTAATGCCGGATTCAATTCACTGTTTATAAGTTTCAAAGCTAATAAATCTACATCTATACAAAAAGTTAGATATCAAAGTACTAAATATGAGAGAAGTTAACATGAAAAGTTATTACATAGTTAAAATATGGAAAAGATTTATATAAGGTCAAATAACAATCAATTTTTTCAAAATTCTAAATATTAAGATTTTTTATGTTTCAAATAAGGAAAGATTTAATAATAAAAGTTTAATAGATTTCAAAGTCATAAATATTAAAAAAAAGTAATTCAATTACTATGTCCAATGTGAAATCTAATTTAAAAGGTAAAAAAGACGATCGATAGTTCGCTAAGAGGCTTTGTGATACTGAGTCATGTAATACATGTTTAAGATGATATAGAGTAAAGTTTAATAGAACACATCTGGTGATGTGCAGATTCAATTAATTAAAATCAGTAGAGAGTACCTAATACGGTTGGAGGACATCAGTTTTTTTTTAAATTTCAATAACTTCATTGTTAATGGTGATAAAGCAGAGTAGCATATATTACTATCTTGTATTTGCACATTTTTTATGTGTATCTTCTGTATTCTAGAAAGAAAAATATTTCATATAACTATATTAATATTAGAAAGAATTACAAGAAAATACACATGACTTCACACCATAACAAAATGGCCCATGTTTTTAAGTTTTACCTCACCTAGCCCACATTGTACATATTTTGAAAGCACTTGCAAATTAAAAATATGTATTTTTATAACCATTGCTTCTAAAAGCTATGGAGTTAATTCTTTGTTCTCACAACTATTGCTTTCACTCTCTATTCTTCTCACATCTTTTACATATGCTTAAAAGGGCCATGTATTTTCTGCTTCTCCTCGTGTGTCACCTGCTTGCAATGAAAGAAAATTAAAGAATAGAAGTCCACCATTGAAGACCATTCAAAGCTTTGCTTTTGAAATTATTTTTTTGAATTTGTTGGTTGTTTGGATTGGGTATTGTTCCAATTGATTGAAATATCAAAAGGAGTTCAAAATTTAAATTTGAAGTGATTTGGAGTAGATTTGAGCAAGATTTGAGTTAAATTTCAAAAAAGATGCAAGGAAGAAGACGAAGTCAGTTTTTTGTATAATTATGTATAATCTTGTATAATATTGTATATGAGTGTAGAAACACACCTTATACACTATTATACACTTTTATACACCTTTATACAAGCGTCTATAGACGAACTTCTTCCACGATTTTCAGTTGCAATTCTTGTTCAAACCAGTCCAAATCTCCATTAAATGACTTCAAATTTTTTAGACATCCTCCTTATACTATTTCTAACAAGTCTAAATAACACCCACTCCCTATTTCTCACAAAATTAAATTCGGAATTTAAACCTACATATTTAAGCTTGTTAAAAATCTAATTTTGACCATCCAAATGAATTTGATTTGTTGAATTAATATTTGAGTGACACTTACTGATTCGAAAATTAATTTAAAAGCTTGAGTAATCTTTTTTAAAAATTAAATAGTAATTTTGAGAACCTATTGGAGTTAGATGTTGAATCTTAGCCTATTACTTACGGGCTAGTTGGTTGTAAATTAAAATATGGGCTATCAAATTAAAAAATATGGAGCCCAGTTGTTCTCATGTGAAATTTTATTTGTA